GATGAGGGAGACAGGCCCCCATTTCACGGCAGCAGAGGTCCCGCAGGGAGGTGGAGAACCATGCTGGGTCAGTCCTGCAGCTCTGGGCGCTGCTGCCTGCTGCCTTTCAGTCCATGGACAGGCTCAAAACACTCCACCCTGTAACAGAGGAGCATTTGCAAAATTCCTCCCCTAATCCCGCTTAACTGCCAGGCACTGATGTTATTACTAACAGGGCCCGAGGGGCTCTTGGCTTAAGTGTGACATTTACGGGCCAGTGAAATGCCTGCCCAGACAGCTTACACTGAAATCTAAGACTTGCTTTTCCTCTCTGTGTGCTCTTGGCCACACTGGTGCAGAGGGCTCCTTCCATCCACCCCTCCCTCTGGCTTTCATTGGACATTGCATCCAGCGCCTCTCGGTCCCCTGGAACAGCCCTTTTGCAAAGGTGAGCTTGCAGCCATAGCATCACGTGGCCAAAAAGGTGTCTGGCTGCAAGCATACCTTTAGAGCCTGAGAGAGGTCTTCCTGGCGGTATCCTCCCCCGCTGCCCTGTCACATGTCCTCTCCCCTCCAGGTCCCCCATCACCAGAGGCCAGCCGCTGGGGATGTGCTGGCAGGTGGCAGGAGTTGCCCTACCTCTGGAGGCTTGCCAGGCCAGCAATGGTGGCAGGCAGCAGCTGGGTAGGTGCAGGAGCCTCTTCCCACGGGGCATGGAGGCTGGCCACATGGCCTACTCTCTGTCTGGTTCTCCTTTGCAGCAGTGAAAGGGCCTAACCACAGCCCATAATTTTCTATTTGCAGAGCTTGATTTCTTTCAAGTGGAAGCGTAAAATAACAGCATCTCATTCCACAGCAAGCACTGGCATTGAAATGAATCACTGTGCAGTCAGGAAATGAAAAAGCAAAGGTGGTTGCGGCATGAACGAAGCACATTTTTCTAAGACTAAGTAAAGGCAGATGCTGGCAGGCACTCCCAACGGCCGGGGCGACAGCAGGGCCGCGGCCAGTGCAGGCCCATTGGCGTCACACGTCAGAGGGTTCTTAGGGCTCAGTATATGCTTAAAGTTAAGGACATGTTGGGCCAGGATAGGGACTCTGTGCCTGGCTCCTTCTCATCAGGACATGCTGGGATGTGAGTCTGACCAGAGGCACCTACAGTGGTTTGTGCAGCATTGGGATTTGTTTGGGGTTTTCCCTTCTTTCATGCACGTGAATTGGGAAACCTTTCAGTGCAAACCTCCTTCCCAGCTGAGCATCACCCATCTCCCATCACCATCACAGCAATGTCTGCCAGATTGTGCTCTTGTACAAGCAAGACCTCCCCAGTCCTAGCTGTGATCACCGCGCCAATACGAAGTGACGGACCTGCTTCTGTGCAGAGTTTGGTTTTCTAATGCTGGCTGCTTGTAGATTGGCCCCAAACACACCCTTCCCACCCTTCCAGCCCATGCTTGGGAGCCACAAAGTGAAGCCTCTTGGATGACTCTACAGCCAAAGACCCCCACGTTGAGCACAGTGCGCTGTTCAGCCTGTGCACATGGAGGACTTGGGGACCTCGTTTCCTGCCACCAAGGCTTTGGCTATGGTAGGGCAAGAGAAGGGGGAAGTCAGGTCCCCAGGGGGAACTCCTCTGTGGAAGTGCTGGCTGCCTTTCTTGGCGCAGCAGCTCAGTGATTCCGGAAGGGAATTCCATTTGCCTTCCTCATCACTTCCAGGGCCTGGGGAGGTGCACGCGGGCTGGATCCTCACCTCAGGCACACCATGGGGAACCCAGCAGCCACGTCCGTGCAGCCGAGGGCAGGCTTGCCTGCACATGTTTAGAGGCATGACCGTTTAGGACCATTATTCAGCCGCCCGCTTTGCTTTGCTTTCCTTTCTAGAGTATGCAACCACATGCCAGCATCAGAGCCTGATAGACAACATTTTGGCTAGCCAAGTCCAGGCAGTTAAATGTCCGGAGGTTATCCCCATACCAACGCAAGCTTGGCCCCAGGTGCTGTAGGCCAGACAAAGCTGACAGCCACATCTGCAAAGACCCACAGAGTCATGGTGACTGGGGTTTGTGTCTGTTAGCCTCTAATTCCCTATTTCCAGTGTGGTCTCTTGCCCCAGTGAGTCCCTGACAGCACTGGAGGTGCCAGTAGCCTTCTCAAGGCGTAGTGCTATGTTAACTGCCATAGCGCTCTATTAACTGCCATAGCTTCCTCCAGGTTCGCAGGTGCAAGGCACCCGGGCTTGCCGACCTGAAAATCATCCTTTTTAGCAAGAGCTGCCCCAGTCTGTCCCTTGTAGCAGCACTGAGTTTTCCCTTCCAGCCATCGCAGTTTGCACAGCAGGCACCTACTCCTTCATCACCGGCTGGTGAGGCACTGCGAAGGCTGCCTGTTTATCTGTACTGCAGCAAGCAGGTTTGCTGCTTGCTCCAGCAAATATGGTTTGTTTTTCCCAGGAGAAGGGCACTTCCAAACCTTGGTAGAAAAAAGAGGAATCTTCCCATCTGGTTGGAGGTTTCTATTGCCCCAGACAGATGGCCATGGCACAGGCTTAAGTCTGCAGAGCAAGCATGTCAGGGTCCAGCACATTCAGCACACAGCATGTTCCTGCATATGCATTTTAACCTCAAGTAATACAGTATATCGGGAATTATTTCTCCTAATGGGATTAAAATGCCTTCTTATGATCTTGCCTTTAGGGGCAATCGTTTTTGCATTGTTTCTTTCAGTTTTCCTTCTCAGTTGTCTACATTTTGCATACAACCTGAAGGAACTGTGTTTCATTTCCTGGTTTTCTATCCTCACTCTCACTCTCTCTCTCTCTCTCTCTCTCGAGGTGTTAATACACTACTCTTAATCCCATTTCTCAAGTGAAATTGGAATTTCCTTTTCTCTTTCCCCCCACCAAGGTAATTTTTGTCATGTTTCCAATACAACAGTTCGGGGCCAGCCAGTGATATCTGAGAATAATCCGTGTTTTGTTAATCTTGCGTCTTTAAATGTGCATTCTTGGCCTGTTGTGCTGAAAATTGCTTTTAGCTTTTCTCATACTGGAAAACTGATATATGTAGGGACCAAATATACACTTTGCTGGTGATGATACAGTCTGGCTGCAGACAGAGAACCTGTTACTACACACCATGTACTAGCCACCAGTCTTTGAGCCACAATTAACTTGGTTTTGGCCATCAGGATGAGATCCAGTATTGAATCCTGTGTTGGTGCAGGACTTTGTGTGCTAGGAAATGACCATCTATTACTTGTGGAAACTCTGATGTGGTTTTGTTACTTGTTCCAGCAAACACCCCACAGATGACATCACCCTTGATAACAGGTTTTCTTCCTATACATTATAGGCAGATGTTTAAGAACTGTCTGTCCTGTATTCCCAATGGTAGCATTAAAAGCAAATGTGTCCATTCAGAGCAATTGAGGTCTCAGCAGCTTCAGCCATCAGAGATGACTGTAACATCAGAGATGCTGTAACAGGACAGTGGCCTTGCTTGGACATGGACATGCTTTCCATGGATATGCTTGAATCTATGTACTTTCAGTGTGTCAGCTGCAATCTCAGTAGTGCTGACTGTAGCATTTTCCTTCTCGTTCACCAGTGTCTTCAGCTTGGAAGCATTCACTTTTGGTCAGACTTTCTCCCTCCCCTTCCTCACTCAAGGGTCAGAAAAGCTGTCCAAGGCTATCTGGACGTTTTTCTTCTTTAAGCCCTTCCCAGCACCCCTAAGTTTCCAGGCTGTGTGGAAGGAGACCTGCTGCAATGTGCCAACATGATCACTCTTCAGGGACCCTCACCTCCCCACCTCTGATGTCCGTTGCTGCGTGGCTGCAGGCATCATGTCTGGCCTCTCAAGGATGTTCTACCTGCTCTCTCTAGCTCAGAGGGTGCACAGGCTGGGAGTGGCATTCTTGTGTCTTGAGCCTGTTGAAGTTGAGCAGCTGAGCTGTTCTGGAGTCTTTCCAGTTGTCCCTGTGGGTCCTGATGACCTAGTAGCAATGCAGCACTGAGCAAACCTTTAAGCTCTTCTGCTTCTGGTGAGAGCACCCTCAACGCTTTGAAAAATGGTCATCAGCTCCTCCAGCGCGAGCCACCTTCTCCACCAATGCTTCTGGCTTCTTCTTTGCCATGTCTTGCTAGCAGTCACACCCTTCTTGCTCTTCTGGAGTAGCATGTGGGAACCCTACAGAGAGACACCTTGAGTCTCTAAGGAGACCCAAGCAGAGGGAGGAAGAAGCTGACCCTTAGCCCAAGAGCCAGACTGAGCCCATTTGGATGCCTGTATCAGGCCCTGCATGCTCCTCAGCAGCACTTCTATGCTAGCCTCTTTCGGGTGCTACTGGTGGGGCCACCCCAGCTGGCGAGTGTTGGAC